TCTCTATTCTCCCACTCTGCAGAATCTGTTAGTTCTATCTCTAACGTTCTGCTCTCTCTGCTTTTTCTCATAGTAGCTTCATCTGGTCTTTTCCTGTTTGACTGTGTGAAATATCAGCTGTGCTGCTGCTATTAACACCTTTGTTTATAAATGTTGGAGATCGGCCGGTTTCGCAGTGTATACCTGTTTTTCTGAGTGTGACTGACTGGATGTGCTCTCTTCATCCTTTGACATGGGAGTTGGCTCGAAGTTCATCTGCCTGGCTGTGTTTTTCCTGGACAGGGCCGCCTTTTACAGCTGCCCTTTGTTTCTCTACTTCTGTCTCCTTGAACCCCAGTCGGCCTCGGCAGATGGCCGCTCACACTGAGCCTGGTTCTGCTGGAGGTTTCTTCCTGTTAAAAGGGATGTTTTCCTCCCCACTGTTTCTACATGCATGCTTAATATGAGGGATTGCCTTTGAGTCATTGAGTGCATTTAACAAATTTTCCTTAGTAAGAAACTCTTAATCAATTTGACTGTATGATCTGGTGAACTGTAAAGTGACTTGAGATGGCGTGTTGTAAATCGGCACTATATAAATAAACTGAAGTGAATTGATGGAACTGGATTTTATTTAGGGGCACCAGAGTAATGGTGCATGATCACAAAAATACCAGATGTTTCAGATTTGTAATTTTACAACACAAACTATTTTGCTATGCACCACTTTTTGCTGGTCTGCATAAAAAACAATCCCAATCTAATTTTTTTAGTTTTATGGTTTTAATGGAAGTAAATACCTTGCAAGTTAAGTACAATTTGCTCATTCCTCGTTTCTTATTCAAGGTTGAATAAGAGAGGAGGAACAGAAGTTTTCATTCCTTAATATTTTGATAGTTTTAGGAGACTATTCATACTTGATTTTGACCTTGTTGTGTTCTCTCAGGTTATCAATGTGTAGTTACAGATGTGGCAATAATCACTACAGTAATCTTGCCCAAAGCAACTAGAATATAAAATTTAGTCTTTATAAAGAACTTTTAGTTTTAGGGAACTTTTTAAGGCTCCTTAAAAAGGAAATGAGCTGTGTATATGTGAAATTAGCTGAAAAATATCTATATTGCATAGTACACCGAATATTACTGTGACGAAAAAATTGCATCTGAATCTGCACGAGAATCTGCCTTTGTCCTTAATCTCTGTCCTTTAAAACAAAAAAAAACTCAAAGGAAAGCTACACATCTTTAAGGCTTCTTTCTGGCTAAATAGAGTAAGATACTTGTTAGCACCTCTGACATTTAATTTCAAGCTAAATCCTAATATTGAACTGTTAGATACAGCACAAAAAATTAGGTTATTTTTCAAATGATTTAAAACACTTGTAGGCACCCTTTGCATAAATGTGTTTTCAATTAAACTGATCTTTTACACCACACTGAGCTCTGTATGTGAGTGAAACATGGGCTTGGGTTCTTTTAAAGCCATATTCAATTTCTTTTTTAATAGGCAAGGTTGGCATAAAGCTGTTTTTGTTTTTCTTTATTCTTGTTTCACACTTTGAAGATCTGCTCATATCAGCCTCTTTTGATTATTTTCATTATTTATTTATTTCTTTTTCGATTTTGAAGAGCAGGACTTTGTAGGAAAAATAAGTAACTTAATGCTCATCAAAAGTTCACTGACACTTTTGTTATCTTTTCAAATTAAAGGTCTGAATATCTGAAGCTGTTTTAACCCAGAATATCACAATGCTCCATATTTGATTATGCTACCTGTTGGCAGGTTCCTAAATCCTGCCCCACACCCGCCAAGTCTGAGTCGAATGCTGTCATCACTGATTCTCAGGGAGGAAGGAAACAACATGCCTACAAGGCAGAGATCATTGGTGGTGTGGTGGTGCACACTCCAATCCAGGTAAGACATTGGAAAAAGCTGAAACCTGCAGCAAAAGGACTTCAAAAGAAAGAAAAGGCCAAGATATAAAATACTTACAGCAAGGTTTAAAATAATTCATATCCCTGGTAGATTATATTTCAAATGAGAGCTGAATAGTATTGAATCATAATCATGATATTTGACAATATCAAAATCCCAATCGTCTGCTTGGATGCAACATTTGGCATTTTTAGTCAAAAGCATCTACATTCTGGTGCCCATGTCATACCTAGCCTATTGGATGGACTTTCTCTGAACTTCATGTCTATGCTTGATGCATATCATGTTGTGGTTATTATGCCTAGGACCTTATCTTTAAATAAACTGAAAATCTCACAGACAAAAACAACTGTCATGCAGTAGGTAGGCCTGTTGCGGGTGAGCACCAAACATCACATGTGCAACTGATGACACGCAAACCTCTTTTTTCCCCAGCCAATTGCATTTGTTACTGGCAGTTTGAGAAATGGTTAAAGAAAGATGAGGTTCTCAGCCATTGAGATTGACAACTATACCTACTATTATAACTACAAACAATGATAATACAAAATTTTGTTTGTTGTTTAAGATCAATTGGCTTCCTTTCCATCACAATCTTGAGTCTCCACAGACTCTAAATCAGACTTTTGTTTGACTCTAAAAAAATAAGGTTCATGAAATTTATACCAAATCTTCCAGGGGTAAATATGTTAGTAGCTGCAGAAGTGAAAATCTGTTGAAGTGAGAATTCTGCAAAATCTCATAGAAAATTTTAACGATTGTATAGTTTACTGATGCTGATGGTGGCAGCTATCATAGTGATCAGAGATTTCTCTGATTAAATCTTGTAGAATGAACCTGAAGACACAGAGGGAAGAGAGAAGAAGGGCAACAGGCCTGGTGTGCTGAGATGTGGTTTCTGTGTCAAGCAAGGAAATGTGGTGCGTGCTCCTTTTTATTTACAGTTCTTTTCAGAAAACACTTAAAACAAGTGATGAAAGAACATTTGGTTTTGCACTTGCAGAGGAAGAGCTGGAAGAGGCGTTTTTTCACCCTAGATGACAGCACAGTCAGCTACTATAAGACTGACACGGTGAGGAGCCTTTTCAGTTTTTGTTAATTTTTTGTTTGTTTTCTTTTTAATGCTCTCATCATGACTGTAGTTTGTTTGCTCATGATCAGGACAAGGAGCCTCTTCGAGGTATTCCGCTCAGAGACATTCAGAAGGTCCATGAATGTCTTGTCAAGTCTGGGTGAGTCAAAAAAAAAAAAA